GCTCAGGGTCAGCCTGGGGGCCACTTCTAGAACTAGCAGGAAAGTTTAATTCCTTTTTTTTTTTTAATGTTTATTTATTTTTGATAGAGACAGAGCATGAGTGGGGGAGGGGCAGAGAGCGAGAGGGAGACACAGAATCGGAAGCAGGCTCCAGGCTCTGTGCTGTCAGCACAGAGCCCGACGCGGGGCTCGAACTCACGGACGGTGAGCTCATGACCTGAGCCGAAGTCGGACGCTCAACCCACTGAGCCACCCAGGCGCCCCGAGTTTAATTTCTGATGTCTCTGGTCTCAAAAGCATGAGGATCCTTGGCTCTCAACTCTAGGACTCCCTCCCCCACCTCTTGAAAGAGCCGACTGTGGTGTAATAGCAGCTTATTTCTTTACAAAGTGCTTTCCCAGACGCTGGAATGCAACCTGTTGAATGGCTCAGGGCAAACCACGTCCCAGAAGTACCAGGTGTCCCACCACCGCACCGTGTAACGGCCTGGCCGGGACTGGGTTTCCCTAATTCTCCCTGCCTCTGTGGAATCCGTTAGAAGCCGATGGCTGTGGGCCTGGATTAAGCTACGATTCGGAAAGGGCTGTTTTCCAGATCGCGTCTTTTACGACGAGATCTGGTTCTTGCTGAAGAACAAGAGATGATATGCCCTCACTCCTTCATCTTCGGAGTTTACTTCATCCTGGCCTCGGTCAGCACTGGGGTGACACGATCCCCCAAGGAAAAGTTTGGGGGTTCTGACATCCCGAAAGCTACTGCAAGCTCAGCGCAGGTTTTGTAAACCGTGGCGGGCTTTGCTGCCTCCAGTCTTACCTCTCTGGTCTGTTTTCTAGTTTCTAATTTCTAATATTCTCTCCCCTCCTGCCCCATTTAAAAAAAAAAAATAGCTATACTTACATAACACGTGCTAAATACTTTGAAAACATCAACTCGAGGCGATCGTCACAACAACCCTATGTAGGTGCAGTTATCATCTCTATTTTATAGAAGAAACTGCAACACAGAGAGGTTAAGTAACTTGCCTGCGCTGGCACAGCCAGTGGGTTGTGGAGCCAGGATTGAAACCCAGGCGGCCTGGCTGGTAATTGGTAATGTGGTAAACTTAACCACTGCTCTGTTAGTTTTGGCATTCTGTACGTGGCAGGGGGTTATCGCTCCTTAATGCCTGACCTGGCACCATACAGGGAACAATTATTGGCCTTTCAGATAAAGCGGGAAGAAAACCGTGCCTCTTATTTGGGATCTTACATGTCTCATCCAGGATCAGTCTTCTGCTCCAACAGAGTGTCTTTCGGTTTTTCTCAGCCTTTCCCCCAGTACTGTAGTCTTCCTTAGAGGTCCTGTGGATCTGATGGAGCCTGCCCTCTGGCTGCCTTTCCCAGTTTCTATGGGTATTTCCTTTCAGTCTTCCAGCACGCAGAGAAGAATGTAGCCTGACTCAGGTTCTGCCCAAGCCCAGTGGCACCAGGCCCACCTGGAGAGAGAGGTCTGGGTAACTAGGTTGGTCGACTGAGACATGGAAGTACCTCTTGTTTGCTTTTCTAATAATAGCCCTGAACATTAGCCTCGTGCCATTATTTTGGGGAGCATGGAATGCCTGGCAGCCACGAGCTCCTTAAGCTTCATTCACTTCCCTCCAGGGAGGAAGCTTTGGCAGTGTTTATGACTCCATCCCTTTTATTGAAGGGGGAAACCGAGGCATCAGGACTTCAGGGAGCAAGGGGTGGTTCGGTACATTTAGTGTTGGTGAGTCACTGTCAAGGTGGGGAATAGAACCGAGGAACCTCAGTCTCTGAGATCCTATGCATTAGGCTGCCCTTCAAGAATGGGGAAGTGGCGAGGGCAAGGAAGTCAGATGGGTAAAGGGAGAATGGTGCGAAAAGATCAGAAGGACCTTTTGCTGCAAGCGTCTTGTAGCTGGTAAGGTTAAGATATATTTTGAGCGCTGGGTGGTATCTGGAGGGCTGACCGGGAGGCTGCTGTGGAGAGGTTAAATTTAACCTCTCCTAACCTGCTTGCCGGGTTGCGGAGAGGGCAGGGCACAGAACAACTAGCAAAAGGCTGAGAGTGCTTCCCCTTCTGGAATTCACAGTGATCGGCATGTGCCACACGGGTTCTGTAAACCACTTGAAATTTACTCTGTAGATTGTCCCTGTCCAACGTGGGGAGACTTTCAAATGAAGCATCCTGGAAGTCTTCTGTGTTCTTAAGATGAGGTTTCCTAGGGATCTTGAGCAGGAGATCTTGAGCAGGGGGATTCTTTACAGCCCCCCCCCC